AGGGGAGACAGGGAGGGGAAGGGAGAGGGGGTGGGGGGAGAGAGAGAGAGAGAGAGAGAGAAAAGAACTACCCTAACAGAAGCAGAAACCTCAGGCATTGCCTCATGTACCAGACCCCAGACGCAAGGCTGTAGGGGGTGCAGAGCACTGAGAAGCCCAAGCTTGCAGTGTAAAATAAACATTCCTTAATAGAGAAAGGAAAGTTGGAGGAGGCTCCTTCAATTAACACCCACAGGCTGATAAATCCCTAGTCAGTGTCTCCAGCCTAACCGCCCCCGGCTCTCCAGGTCCCGATATCTATCAGCCTATTGGACATCCCATCCCCACCACCCACCAGCTAGAAATAAAAAATCATCCCAGCACCTCCCTGTCTTTCACCCCTCCACAATCAAGCAGTCATCAGGTGTCACCTCCCAACTCCTTGGCCACCCACTTGGATGACCTCCATCCTGGTCTCTGCCTTCCATCTTCTCCATTTAAGAGTAGGGAAAACATGTATCTACTTACAGACCCAAACTCATGGAATCTCTCCACACTCGTGGAATCCTGAGACTCAGAAGGAGAGAAGTTCAACAGGGAGAAAAGCAGAAACCAAGGAGAAGACCAGGGAGAAGAGGCCTGAGGTTACACCTAGGTTTATGTCACTGCCCATGGCTGGACCACATGAATCCCTCTACAGAGAAGAGACGAGCCCAGCAGACCCATACTTGAAGGGTATGAGTCATTACTATTATGAGTCAGGAATTATTCAGTAAATCCATAAAAATTACTATTCATGTTTTTCTCATTGAAGTCCCTTGGTTTTTAAAAGGCCCCAATTTAAGAATTCTACTTATGTAGCAGGACTAGCACAACAAAGATGACTGCAGCTTGCCCATCAGTGGAAGGTCCCTTGGGTACTGCCCCTCCCAGGGCATCTGGGAACAGTCCTAAGCCTGAGACAGTACCTTCCAGATAGGTATCCTCTAAACCCCAGCTGCCCCTCTGATCAATGAGGTATCAAGACAAGAAACCCGGCAAAATCCATTCCTGCTTCTTAATGGGAGAGGAAACAAAAGGAAGTGGCCTCCCTCTCCGTGGAGATAGGAAACAGCTTAATGATTCTCTGGCTCAGCCCACTGCAGGGATGATGTGATTAAACGGCACTCAGGCTCAAGCAAAGGAGACATTCTGTTCTTGCTCAGACTCCTCTGCTTCTGAATCCAATTGTCTCCAGAGCACTAATCCCTTTCAAGTAATTTGGAAGCACTAAGTGCAATTAGCCTCCATGTGGTAACTGTGGCTCCTTCGGAGCAAGTATCTCACACCAATCTATGGGTCAGACCAGCCCTCTGCCCCCACACCCATGTCCAAGTTCTACCAAGACACAGGAAGGCTAAGCTGGCTCCAGAGCCAGAAATGAAAATAGTCAGGGTCCTGCAATCACTGAAGTCTTGCTCCAAACACCAGCCCTCGCTCAGTTTCTTAGAAAACCAACGTTTGATCACCAGATGCATGGATGCTGATGTGCCTGAAATAGTGTTACCTGTGCACCATCACCTGCAGCTCTACTAAGTTGACGGCCCGGTGGCTTGGGCTCTGCTCAGTTATATCTACCCTGGTTAAATGTAAAGAACTCTCATCTAAGCCACTTCTGAGAAAGTGACCAGAAGCTCGCCCATCTAGCATCAAGCGGGCACAAGGTCACCAGAAGGACACTCACCCGGACAAGGTCCATTTCTGGGCTGCTCTCCATGTAGGTCCAGATCTTGGGGCTGAGCTCGTCCCACATGCCTTTTATATCATTGAACACAGCCAGTTCCTGGAAGGTCTTATTCACCTGGTCAGGAGGGGAGCCAGGGAAAGCAGGAAAAAAGAAGAGAGGCAGAGACATGAGAAATGCAGCTGCTCCCTGAAAGACGCTCATCCCAGCAGCCCTCTTTCAGTCCTTCCCATCCCTAGGAAGTGCGTGCCTGCAGCTACAATTCAAATGCCCAAGGCTGGAGAGCAAGATCTCAATAGTCAGCCCTGGCCTGCATCAGACCCGAGGTTCTCACTCTTTGGAAATCCCAAAGAGGCAGGAGTTTGCTCGATATACTCCATCTGGAACTGCCTGTAATTCTGGCAGGATTCTGGAGAGGAAGCCCTGGGCCTGGGCAGCTTACCTCAGCCATGACCTGCCTCGTGGCTGGAGTGTCGGGCGTATATAGGATCTTCCCAACAAGCAAGGGCTTGAGAGCTTTCCATATGATGCGGGAGAGAGGACTGGACTCCAAACTCTTCATCAAATCATTGCAATAAGGACCTGTGAAGACGAAAGGCAAATATTCCTATGCATGCTCACAGACTTGTGGGAACTAGTAAGGCTTTGAAGCCAGTGAGAAGATCCTAGGTTCAAATTCCAGCCCTACCACTTAATAAATAACTTCACCGGTCTGAGTCTCAGTTTGCCCCCCTTTAAAAATAAATAGCTCCTTGGGAGAGATGTGGAGAGGATTAACTGAAATATATGTAAAGCCCTTAGAACCATGCTTGATAAATAATCAGAGTTTTTTATAACACGGATGATGGAACACTCACAATGGAGACGATCTAGAGGATGTTCTTACTATGCACAAGCCTGAGTATCTCTAGATTCATACTCTCATGCCAGCCCTCACCACTCTGTTTTCACTGAAAACAGAAGGCTGAACTCAGACTTTAGTTTTCAAGCAAAAATCAAGCAATTCCTTTAACTAATAGGTTTCATCACAAGTATATGTAATAAATGTAACAAAAATCTTAAACTGAGAAATCAAAAGTTATAGGATTTGATTTTCCAGAAGGATTCCTGGTTTTTGTTTATTTGTTTCATTCCAGGTCCTTTTAGATACCAAGTATCCTCTACATGCTGCAAAGACAATATAATTTAAAAAAAAAAGATCTGCTCACAATTATACCTATTGTGAAAATGAAGGTTCCCTTGGGCTGACTTGCAAAGTTAGGGGATGGCATTTCAGAAAACTGCCTGTAACGCCATCCCCTCAGGCTTGCAAAGCAGCCTGTGCTGTCCGGAGGGCTTTACTCCAGAGAAAAAGGAAAGGCTCTTGGGTTACAATAACGCACAAAAAGCTGCCTCACTTGTTGTCTGAAAGACACACCTGCGGTTGGAAATGGAGAAAGGCTCGCTTGCATCAAGTTTTCAAGGAAAAGGATGCCATTGTCTAAAACTGTAACACTGGCTCCTCGCTGTCACCGACCACAGGACACACATGCCCACAAAACAGCCCGGGTGTGACAGCAGATATGGAGTTACAAGGTCTTTTAACACTGCCTCGCAGCTAAGAACCAAAACAAACAGCTGATCAAATGCCAGGGCCTGCCAGTAGACACACGCCGGCATTAACAGGTATTTCAGAGGCTGTGTGGTTTACCAGAAAAAGCATGGAGTCAGGGGATCTGGACTTAATACCGGCTCTTGTGGATTAGCCATGGTGTGGTTTTGAACAAGTCGCTTAACCTCTCTGAGCCTATAGAATGTGGGGTTATAAAACCTTCCTTGAAGGGTTACTGTAAGGGTTAAGTGAGATAACAAATAGAAAGCACAGGAAATGTTCCCTACAATGTTGACTTTTATGTTGTTATTATTATTACTGTTATTTTTAAGTTTTTATTATAAAGCATACCTCAAGGGGGAGTAGAGAGGAGAGGGAGGGGGAAGAAGAGCCTTGATTACTACGTTCCCCAGAAAACTGGGAGATCAGCTTTCAATCATTCATTTATTTGATAAACACACTGTGTACCTGAGATGCACCAGGCCCCATTCAAAGAAGTGGGCACAGGTAGCTAATCAGGAAAAGATGCTCCCCCCTAGGTGCTCAGTCTGGTGAGCAAGCACACAGGAGCATCCAAGGCTGCTACAGAGGATGACGGTAAGCTCGAGGGAGGGGGTGATGCAGGGCCGCCCAAGTCTACATCTAAGGTGGGCTGGGGCCAGGGCTTTGGTCAGCACACTCACTTGTAGAATTGTCATAGAAGATGCCAGCATCCTCCTCGGTGCCATTGCCTCCAAAGAGGGCTTTGTAGTTGTTGTCCTCATACCAGTTGAGGGACTTGATCTTCAGGCCCCCACCCTCGGGGTGGCCACAGACGATGCGGGAGACAGCCTGGTATATCTGGGTGGAGGAGATGGAGCTGTTCACGTTGGTCAGAAACATCACCTCCTGCCGCATGTCACTCCAGCTCCTCATGCTGAACAGCTGAGGTTGGGGATCAAGAGGAAAAGGCGGGAAAAAGAGAAAAGGTAGAGGGTTGGAGACAGAGAAGAGAAAGGAACATGTTATTTTCTTGAACTCTCCAAAGCCACATCCCAGAACATAGCTTGTATGATGTCATCTCCTCAAAGCCTTGTGATGAGATTGCCAGAGCCATGCTGCTTCCGCTGTGGCTCAGGGACCGGCGGCATCAGCGTAATCTGAGGTCTGAAAGCAGATTCTGATCTATCTACAATTCAAATCTGCATCTTCATGAAGTGCCAGGTGATTCCCAGGCACGTTAAAGATGGAGAAGCACAGTTTAGCAGCTAGCAGAGCCCCCGGTGACGGGCTTTATTTCATTCCGCTTACCTTCTGGTTTACAGGAGAGAATGCTTTTTCCGAACAGCTATGTGCTCACAAACACACATCAGGAGCTGCTCACACCCTCAATCACCGGCTCCTTTCTAAAACAGCTCCAAGTTCACTGTGGAAACTGAGGAGCCCCTGCCCCTCGGGAGAAAAGGCACTGTACGTGCTGTCCCACCCTCGTCTCAGTTAAGTGCTGGGCAACTTGGAAAAAGCATATGATGGGACACCCGAGTTTGAATCCCAGCTCTGTCTCTCATTAGCTCACAGCCCTAGAAAAGTCACTCCTCTAAGGCCCAACTTATCATCAAGATGATGACAGAGGGTGGTGCTGAGGAATAAATCACATGACACACGAGAGGGGCCTTGCACCGAACAGCGCCTGCAAGCGATGAGTCAGACGCTCCGCAGCCGGGGGCTGTGTCTGACTTCCACTCGGCAAGTGCTTTGTCTCCCATACAAATGTACTCTGGCACCTTGTGGAGTTCTTGGCCCCACTGCTCTTATAATTAAATATTTATAGAGCACTCTGTATTTCCACACAGTTCACAATACATCACTAACACATCCCTCCAGCCCTTGAAGAGTCACTGCACGCTCTCACCACCTGAAGATCAGACCGTGCCGTGCAGAGTGGACACCGCGAGGCCCCCGCGCCTTAGGGGCCTAGAACCCGGCTCCACGGGCCCGGGTCTCTGTCTCGCAGGGCTGCTGGCTCCTGTGAGTCACTCGGTCCCGGAGGCTGCGGATCCTGACCGCCTCCTGCCCCAAAGGGGAACCAGGCACTCCAGGGGTGGGTCAGCTGTCACAAACGTTTGTCCCTCTGGAGAGGGAGGCCTAACACACCCCGCGAGAACACAAATAGGTGGCTAGCTTTTCCTCACTTTATCTCCTCACACCCTGTATGAGGTGTACAGACAGGGAAGGACAAACAGCCAGACCACCTTTCCTTTTGCGTCGGTGGGTGGAACAACCCTGGAGACTTTTAAGGAATAGTCACCTCTTTCCACAGGTGGCCTCACTGCCACCACCCTGACGTGCCCCAACCAGAACAAATTTCCTCCCACATTGGACAGAGGCACCGTAAATGGTGAAGTTACTCCCAACGGTCGGCTCTTCCCCGCACCTGTCTTATGCGCAAACTCCTATTTGTCCTGCACCCCCGCTCACGCTCCGCACCTCCTCGGCGAAGCACTCGCGCTCCTGCTCGCGGCCCGCCGGAGGTGGGCTGTGACAATGTCCCGAGCCGCGGGTGAACGGCTGACTGACCTGCCTTCTTAACCCGCTGCGAGAGCCCCCCCACGGCCTCTCCGCAGTTTAACAGCCGGAAGGTAAACAGTCTCATACTCTAGGGCACGTCACACGCCTGCCCCTCTGCTCCAAGCCTCTGCTGGCCTCCCATCTCACTCAGCAGAAATCCAGCCCCACCAGGCCTACAGGCCCTCACCTCCTCTGACCTCTCACCTCCTTCTCTGACCTCTCACCTCCTTCTCTGACCTCTCACCTCCCTCTCTACCTCTCACCTCCCTCTCTGACCTCTCACCTCCCTCTCTACCTCTTACCTCCCTCTCTGACCTCTCACCTCCCTCTCTACCTCTCACCTCCCTCTCTGACTTCTCACCTCCTTCTCTGATCTCTCACGTCCCTCTCTGACCTCTCACCTCCCTCTCTACCTCTCACCTCCCTCTCGACCTCTCACCTCCTTCTCGGCCTCTCACCTCCCTCTCTGACCTCTCACCTCCTTCTCTGACCTCTCACCTCCTTCTCAACCTCTCATCTCCTTCTCTGACCTCTCACCTTTGCCCGCCCTCTCACTTGCTCACTTGGTTCTGGCTACCCGGGCCTCCTTCCTGATCTTTAAATACATTCCATCATCATGGCTATATCTGTGGTTCCTCCACTAGATCCACTCAGCTGCCAAGTCCTGTGTATCTTTATTTTCTTTCTTTCACGAGTCTCCTTTCTATTTGACACCAGTTACCACCAGAGTCCATCAGACAAGTGGGCTATAAAGCAGCAAGAACACAGGCTTAGAAGTCCAACAGTCCTGGGTTTGAATCCCAGTTTGCCAATTAACTAACCAGGTGACTGTGGGCAAGTCATCTAACTTTTCTGAGCCTGTCATCTGTAAAATGGGCACAAGAAGACCCATTCATATTTGTCACATGGATTATACAGAAAAATTGGGTGAAACTACATGAAGCAGGGGAGCTCCTCAGAAAAATGTTAGCTCACTTTTCCTTCATTGGTTGTGCTCTGGTCAAGACAACCAGCTTTCTCTCCAAACACTGAACAGATAACAAGGGTATTTATTTATTTATTTATTTATCTCCTCCCATCTGTCCCAGAGAAATAGCAAGTTAGACCATGGGTAACTTGTGGTCAAAGTGACTTGAAGGTTTTACACTGAGAGGAGGAGATGACCCCTGCCTGCCCTGGACCCAGAGCAAGCAGCACACACGGAAGCAGCTGCCAAGAAAAATGTATATTGCTCAGTTGGAGAGTTTCTGCCACATCAGCAGCAGGAACATCACATGCTTTTAATTATTTTTTTTTTACCCCAGACAAAAGGCAGGCCAGTGATGTAAGAGGAAACAGCTGTCCCCAGACCCTGAGCATAGTGGCAGCCTCCCATGCTTCAGTCCCTGCTCTGCTCTACGGCTGGGAGAGGGCCTGGAGGAGCTGTTAGTTCAGGGCATGTCCATGTCAGCTAACGGGACCCTAGAGAGATGGCTACAGGCCTGCCGGGCAGTTTGTGTGTCTCTTTCTGCCTCCTGGAAGAGCCCCAGGTGACCCAGCCTCTCCCCTTACAGAAAGATCACCAGCATTCATAACCGAAGTAACCAAGGGCAGCTGGAAGAGGGCTTCTTTTCCTGAAAGGGACCCAAAAACCAAGCCTCTTCAGTCAGACACACACGAGCAGGATGTAAAGAAAAAAGNGCCTCTCCCCTTACAGAAAGATCACCAGCATTCATAACCGAAGTAACCAAGGGCAGCTGGAAGAGGGCTTCTTTTCCTGAAAGGGACCCAAAAACCAAGCCTCTTCAGTCAGACACACACGAGCAGAATGTAAAGAAAANCACGAGCAGGATGTAAAGAAAAAAGAAGCCAAAACAACAAAGTGTCGTCTGTTTAACCTGCATGTTTTCTGTATTTTCCAAATATTCTACAGTTTCCACAGTGAACATGCAATACTTTTAGTCCCAGAAAACAAAGGAAGTTTTGATATCTCAGAAAAATGATACGAAGAACAAAAGATGAGTTCGAGATGAGTTCNAGTTTTGGTATCTCAGAAAAATGATACGAAGAACAAAAGATGAGTTCGAGAAGCAACTCAAAATAAGGCTGGACCGAGTCTGAGACTATTTCCCCACAAATCAGCACTGTCCACTGTCCTATACATTGAGGCCTGACTTGTTCTGCCCACTGCCCACCAGCTCAGCTCCTTACACACTGGGCTCCAGGACAGTCCCTCCTTCCCAATCAAATCTGAAACAAGGCTGGGTCTCAGAAAAGGGAGGCACACACTGGCTGGGAGGCCAAGGAACGATGAACTGCTTTTGTGAGCACCTACAGGCCCTCTGATCCTCTGACAAAGGTTGTTCTGATATATCTGTCAACATGTGGGCCCGAAAGGTGGACTCAACTTAATGTTCATCAAGAGACACTATTCCCAAAGTGGAACCCCAGAGGCCAGATGTTTACAGGGGGAAGATCTGAATTAGAGGGACCCATGTTACTTCCTTTAATTAGCAAACAAATGTCTTGGTAAAAAGATGCTCTGGCCTTGCAGCTAAAGAAGACATGTGAAGAAGTTTCTCAGAATAAAAACAGAGGAAAGTTCTAGACTAGATATTGGGCGTTTAGCCACTAATTAGCTCTGAGACATCAATAAGTCTGTTTCTTCATTTCTAAAGTAAGGAGATCAAACTACATCATTTTAAAGATCATTGATACCTCTAACATTGATTGTACATTTCATATGATATTCGACTCAAAAGAACCCTGTCAGTTAGGGTTAAAAAAAAATGACAGCGGATGGTCTGCCTTCTGGTGCTGGAAAGACACGACTTACCTCTTGGGCCAGAGTCCCGAGACTGTCCAGCAATGTTTTTGTGCCTTCAGCCAGCTCCCTGGTCAGGAAAGGAGATAGAGAGTCTAGTTCTGTCTGGAATGAGAAAAAAAATTACTTTGTTTTTAAGCTCAAATGTAAACCTGAAATCCCTATTGAAAATAAACAAGTTAATTAAAACCATTCACAGTCTTAAGTTTAAAACACAAGAAACCCGCTCCTAACCAATATAGGACACTAAAATTATTCTAACTCTATGTTTGCAGGTTGTTTATTTCAGGTAAGAATTACCAGTTCTTCGGTGAGTGCTTTAAAATGGTATAAAAATATATATATTAAAAACTAGTTGATATGCAATAGATAAAAATATCTCATGTGTATATATTTAATTGTTATATGCCACCTAGCTACACAGCAAATATAAAACAATAATTAATTAGGCTAAAGGAAAAGATACTTTAGAGTAGGAAGCCTAAGCCAACCAGTATGATATTGTTAATAGAATGCAAAAATATATAGGGTGGCATAGAAGCTTGCAACTCCAGAATAGTGGTTACCTCTGATGAAAGAGGCAGGGACATTGCAGGTGGCATCAACTGTATCTGTAATGTTTTATTTCTTGCAAAGCATGGCAAAATGATGGATAATGGTACAAGGGTGTTCTTTATGTTCTTCTCTGTACCTTTTTGTATATTTGAACTATTTAATAATCTTTCCTTTTTTAAAAAAATATGTTCTTACTGATTTTAGAGAGTGAGGAAGAGGGAGGGGGGAGAGAGAGAGCGAAACATCGATTGGCTGCCTCTTGCATTCTCACTACCAAGGATTGAGCTACAACCCGGCATGTGCCCTGACTGAGAATCAAACCAGTGACCTCCCGGTGCCTGGGAGAATCCTCAACCAACTGAGCCACACCTGCCAGGGCCATGCTTTTTTTTTAATTCAATGAAAGATAAGAGAGAGGGGGAGGGGGAAAGGAGGGAGATAGGGCAGGAATGAAGGAAGGACAAAGAATATAAGGTGGCTTGAATAGTATCAGATCTGAAAGACGTAACTTCCTTGAATAACATTAACCCCAGGAAACAGGCCTTGAAACTAGGCCACAAAATGAAGTCTGAGACCATGTGCCTGCACTTCTAACTGCGGTCTCCTGCTCATACTCGCTTGACAAAGGCCGGCAAACCCTGCCAAATCATTTTCCAAAGAGCTCCAGTAAATAACTCAGCTCGGAATTCCTGCTATTATTTTTTTCCTAACCAAAAACATCCCCTTGGCTATGAACTTATATGGGTCCCTCTTGACCAATGGAGGCAAGTATTCTCTTGTATTAAGTAAGGAACAAGAGGAAAGAGGGAAAATAAAACCCTTAGTGAAGGACTGTACATTCCGTGTTGAGCTAACAGGAATTCATGCATTATTCAATATTTTTAGATCATAACTAAATACTGTAATATCTTTAGAGGAAGAATACACAAATGCTTGTTGTATTACTCAAGAGCTCCCACCCACTTCGACAAAATGTGTTACTCACAACACAGTAACATTTCCTAAAAGCATGACATTCTGTGCTGCTGTCCCCAGAATGACAAAGGCAATTGTGCCCCACCCTTTCCGGGTCTAACAGATANAGTAACATTTCCTAAAAGCATGACATTCTGTGCTGCTGTCCCCAGAATGACAAAGGCAATTGTGCCCCATCCTTTCCGGGTCTAACAGATAACTTCATTATTTTCTTTCCTCACTAGCTTAGTAGCTAAATTGTAAAAAACCGAAAAATTCAGAGGCAACTTGACNAACTTCATTATTTTCTTTCCTCACTAGCTTAGTAGCTAAATTGTAAAAAATCGAAAAATTCAGAGGCAACTTGACTTTCATTTCTGAGCTGGTGTTTTATTTCAGCTCAGTGTTCAGCATGGCTCCTGGGACATAATAGCTAGATACCCAGTAAATGTCTGTGGAAGAAAAGTCAAAAGAAAGGGAGAAGCACATTAGGGGGGCTAGGTGGACTGGTGTGAGTCCTGCTTCAAAGGTCATTCAAATTTCCGGGTGTACTCTGTCTTACATTCACCTCATCGCGTCACTCACCCTCTAGAGTCTTTGAGTGATTCCCCTTGCTCTAAAGACAAGGCCCAAAGCCTAACATGGCTCTTGATCAGCTGACCTTTGCCCACCTCAGCGTGGCATGTCATACATTCCTTCTCCCATCAAACTCCCCATAGAGACCTCCACTCCACCCTGAGCTCCCCAATCACATGCAGTTCCTCTACATGCCACCTTCTCCTCTCTCCCAACCAGGAGCCATATCCTCTGCCTGGAAATTCTTCCCCTGTTCTTGACCTGGCTAACTCCAATTCTTTAGTTCCAACCTAGAGGACGCTTCTTTCCTGATCCTCAAATACTGGGCTACAAGGCCCATCAGCACCTGCATAGCACCTAGCAGAGGGGCTGTTACTCTGCATAGCATCTGCTCCCCCACCAGCAGGGAAGCTTAGAGAAAACTGAACCTTGCTCACCACTGCCTCTGGCCCAGTACATGGCACAGATCAGTGCTGAATAAATATTTACTGAATGAATGAAAGTGTTTGTTTATAAAGGATCACTATACAAAATGAAGACCGGGAGGGGTTACTACCAATGCATTAGAAGTCACAGCCAACTAGAAATAGAAGACCGAACACTTGTGAAATGAAAACGTAATTGAAAACTCTCTTCAACTTACAAAAGTCTTATCTACACAGAGATTTTTTCAGGGACTCTACTACGAAATAAAGTGAAATGTGGATGTATTTTCAACATAATGCACAATTTTGTTTTCCTCCTGCCAATGCAAGTAACCATGTGTTTATTGGGACATGTCAAACTTCCTTTAAATATTCTCATAACGTAAATTAAAATCTCTACTTCACTTCGCCCATATTCAGAAACACCAGCTCAGGACTAGGATTTATGTTGTAGTGCAGACTGAAAATAAACTACCACGATGATCACCACCCAGAAGCAATCACTGTCACTTTCCCATGATTTATAGGACCATAAAGTTTTCCTTTGAGGAATATTTTAATATTTTTAAATCAAAATAGGGAATTATAAAACTCATGTCTGAGGAAGGTACTAATTTTGAAAAAACAATTCAACAATTTAAATATTAACTTTTAAACTTGGTATGTTTAATCTATTAAAATACTTCTTTTTTTTCTTTGCTATTTCTAAACACAGTTAAATATACCTACTACCACATAGCTCAAGACCAAAAACAAACCTCTATCTTAGAAATGCCAGTGTTTTCTAAAGAAGAAATAATATTATTGAGGCAAAAATGTACAGATGGGGTTGAGTAGTCATATTAACACACTGCTAAATTCACCAAAAATTTATCCTGTTCTATGACCCCCCCTTTTCCCACAGGAATTAGGTGAATATGGAGTCTAAAGAGTAAATCCAGGAGGCATGTCATCTACCATTTACCAAATAACGGGGGTCGCAATTGCTTGCCGAGCGAAAGCATATGCTGTAAACAGGGGGGCAGTAAAACCAAAGCCAAACAAAACCTGACAGTTCCCACAAATGTCTGAATTCCAGGAAGAAGAAAACAAGCAAATGTTTTCTCCTGCAAAAGAACCCACGCACATGCTTTAGGACTGCATGTGACAAGTTGAAGGATCTGGCCCCCCAAAAGTCACCAGCCACACCCCATCTGTGTTCTGAGTCCCTGTCTAAGAGTCCAGAAGGCAGCAAACAAAGACCCTTCAAGACAAGGATGACTTTGTTGACCCCCTTCTCCATCTGCTCCTTCAATCTACACACAGCCCAGCTGTGAGATCACTGGTCTTCCAGGGACCTCAAGGCACCCTCGCCGCACCTTCTTTGTCCCATAAACAGAATCCCGCCTTTGAAAGAATGGGCTGCATGAATCAGAATGTGAAACAGAACTTTCCCTTTTAGGGTGAAGGTCCTCTCAGAGGTCAAGACAATCTAGTCCCATGGATGTGCTAGCCAAGTTGTTACTGAAATGGAGGTAAACTTGTACACCTGTCCTTCCTAACTCAAGGCTCCGACTCTATTTCCTCACCTCCTTCGCATCACTGAGACAAGGGTGAGGGAGCCAGGACTAGAGGCCAAGGCTAGTTAACCCCACATTCTTTTCATTGTGGCTCACAGTGCCCCGTGTTGACAAAGACTGTTGTCAGGGAGCTGTTGGAGGTCATCGCTGAAAATGGGATGGATGGGCAGCCCTCATTCTACAGACCCAGGACCTGTGAGAAATGCCTCAAGTTACCAATCTCAGCTTTAAAATTGGAGTTATCCTCGATTATCTGGATGGGTCAAATCTAACACATGAGGCCTTAAAAGCAGGGGACTTTCTCTGGCTAGAGGCAAAGAGATGTGGCAGGAGAAGTCAGCGAGATTTGGCACCACTGTGAGGATCCGTCTCTCTACAAAGAAACTGTGGCACAAAGCCCCAGAGGATTCTAACTTCTTTGTATTATAATGAGGAACATCTCTTTGCAGGCATATCTTTCTTCCAGGGCTCTTTCCCTGGTTGTAAAAGAAACTAATGACCAATCAGAGCGCTAACTGGTGAGTAAAAACACTGAATGTTAAATGATGTTGTTGGAGGGGCAGTTCACCAGAGCTCTCACAAAACCCCCCAAAATGCACCTGTTCTGGAACTATATACAACACTCCAATGACCAAAATGCTCAGGTTCATCCCCATTCTTTGAGTAAGAATGAACATGTATTCTCAGGGACTGCTTCTCTGAACTATTGATTCCTAGACTAATCAGACTTTGTTGGCAATTTCTTTTTTTTTTTTGTAAATGCAATTTTGTCTTTGCTTAAGTTAATTATTGAGTGTGCTTCCATCCAAGTCCAAGGTTTTCCCACTGTGATGGTTCAGTGTCTCCTTTCTGATGGGCCTTTTAAAGTGAATAGATATCTACCTTTCTATCAATGCTTTTGAGACTTTTTTAAAAATCTGGACTGGAGAACTCTTTTTTCAAATGATTTCTTATAATCTCAAATTATGATTTTAAAAACAAACAAACAAACAAAAAAGCCTGGTCTTCTCTGATTGAAACAGACACAAGGGACCTTGGGCTTAGATTAAGAGCCACACCCAACCCATCCTTCCTCCATTTACTCTTTGAGAGATCGCCCAAAAGTTTTTAAGAACAGTTAGAATACCACTGAGCTAAATTACATCTCAAACTCCCAGCCAGCTCTCTGTTTCTACAAAAACAAAGTCACGTTGTCCAAGGAAAAATTTCACATTCCAAAAGAATTAGTGCTTGAAGCTTCTCCACACAGCACACCCACTCACCAGGATCGGCTTCAGAATGTCCATGTTGGAGAGAAACACTTGCTCTGCAGCATCCAGTTTCTCCCCTGGCAGGCTGCAGAGCCTGGAAACTTCTTGGTCACCGAGTTGGATCACCTTTCCTAACTTGGATCCACTACACAGATTAGTCAAACGTAACTGGTAGCCGTGCAAAAATACCTGGAAGCATTTCATGCAAAGAGAGACAAGCAAAACTGGATTACAAAGATGGGACACTGGGTGCTTGAAGCCTATCAGGGGATTTTACATCAACACAGCTCTGAAGAATGGCCACCACTGCAAGAGTCCAATGCATCGAGTCTCTTTAATAAACTTTGGAATGTGTCAAGGCCCGATCTAACGGGATATTTAAACCTGAATGTTGTCTTTGACTCGTCTCCCACTCTCCTGTCCTTGAGAAGGGAAATCCTGAGTCCAAGTCTTTTCTCAAAAGTGGGACACATGACTCAGTGACTAGGAATCTTGAGTGTGAAAAACATTCTCATTATTTTGGAACTTATAATATGTTCAACTGGGGTTGAGCTGAATTATAGGGGAAAAGTGTCTATTCTGTTCATTTGTAGGCAGAGATATTTAACTGATGCAACGAACTGTTCAAGCAATTTCAGAACTTGGAACTCTTAGTTTTGCTTGCCTTGGAGCACAGTGCCAGCAAGCCAAGGTTCTCATCTACTGAGGCCAATCCAAAGTCATTCTTCTATGTTCATTATAGCAGAGCCCCTAGCGAGCCTCTGCTTGGCCACATTTTGCTCACTTCATTAGCTTTTCTGGGCCTAAATAAACTGAGCTTCTTATACGGTCCTTACTGTCCATTAAACTGCAAATTCAATACAATGAGGGGTCTTAGTTTTCCTACTCACTTTGCATCCACAGTGCTGGAACAGAACAGACGGTAAGTATTTGCGAATAACGAGTGGGTGATGCAGACTCTTTTATTACTCCAGGTTAGTTTAAATTGATGCAAGTAGACCGCCTTGTAGTACAACCTATTTTAAGTGATGAACCCAAAATTTCACAAAACCCATGTGGCTCTCTAACACTGCCACAGTTTCCGTTAAGTTTTCACCCACTGCCAGGTACTCAATTGCACCTCAGTCTGACTCCCTTCTCTAAATGCCCTGGCTTTCAGGCTGTTGGCCTACCTTAGTATCTGTGTTTAAGAGCACAGACTACACAGAGAAGCTAATTACCACTCAAAGACCACCTCCACACTTAGGACATCCCTCATGTTAAACTGATTGGACATGACAGATATGAAATTGGCAGGGGGCAATGGAAATCATGCTAAATGCAACTATTTTCATACGCCTGCTCCCTTTGGCCCATCTCCCAACCACACAATTGCTAAACACAAGGCATATTTTCCAAGTTTCATAAGGGCAAGCAGTAAGCACATTTTTCTAATTTTAAAAGTTCTAGAGCATATGCAGCAAAGATCTTATTTTCAGGCATAAACATTTCCACTACTTCTGCTTATTGTAAAGACAAGCTGGCACGCAGACACGAGACAGGGTAAGGAAGCAGTTCCCCTTTCTGTCAGAGAACAATTGTGAGAAGCCCCTCTGAAAATCAGTAACCATGTGAGCTGGGCCTACCACCCACTCCACAGGAGCTGTGTATCTAATGATGCTGAGGAAGTTTTCTAAGAATGGAAGGTTAAAAATCCATATAAACTCTAACATTACTTCCTGGTTATACAAATTAGGGGGGAAAACAACAACAAACATTTTCTGCTTATATTTCTGTCTTTAAAGAAGCATTTTCTTTTTTTTAATCTGCTGACAGAGCTGCTCCAGATCAATAATTCTCAACCCTGCTTACTGTCTCAGAACTGTGAACTTTTAACAAAAGTGCTTAATTCGTCTTAACTTAAATTCATCCCCCTTTTAGGAGAAAGTTGGCTACAACTGCCAATTGACAGGCAGGAAATCAGTTTTATTTCAACCAGCTGGCCCATGCCAGCAGGTTGCACGTTCCACTCTCTGAGCAGCATGGCAAAGCCAGCCTGAGCAGGGAAGTAAAAATAGGTGAATCTGAGCTAACACGCTCCTTCAGTGCCATCACGAAGACAGGGGCTTATTCATTCCTTTCCAGGCGCTCTTGAACAATGTCACTGCGAGCAGCCCCACCAAGGACGCTTCAGGTGGCAGCCTACCTTGCGAAGGCTGACACTGGCCCCCAGCATTCTGTCCACAGCGGGCCTTGGCAGAGAGAGGTTGTGATGCAGGAATCCAGAGAAGGTTTCATTGTCCACCAGGAAATCCCGGAGTGTCAAATCTGCCGAGAAATACCGTTTTATTTTCATTTAATAACTAACTCAAAAAAAAAACACACACACAATAGGGCAAGTGGAGAAAGCTATCATAATATTGGACTGCCTCATCTTAAACTATTTGACAACCACAGGCTTCTGGATCAAGCACGCAGAGAAACAAGGTTGGAGAGCTTTGTCGTACCTGGAGGGACATGAAAAGGTTACTTTCTAAAGACATGGAGAGCCACACTCAGCACGAGCTCCTAGACTCAACAGTGCGACAGTGCTGTACACACACACGCACGGCCTCCCCTTGCTTTCCAAGGAAAAAGCCAAACCTTTTAAATGATCTCACCCACCCCACCTGAGATCTGTGACACCAACCCCACTGCTCCTGCCTCCCACTGCCATCTCAGGTAGCTAAAATCGGAGGTATTTAAAGTCTCATTCACTCAAGCCCTGGGGCGGGTTTCCTCCTAAGGAACAGTGGTTCTCAGGCTTGAGTGGGCATCAGAATCACCTGCAGGGCCTGTTGAAAAGCTTGCTGGCCCCCATCCCAGAGTTTCTGATTCAGAGGCCTGGGGGGGAAGCTGGAGAATGTGCACTTCTAACAAGCTTCCAGGTGATGCTGATGCTGCGGGGCCAGGGCCCCCACTTAGAGAGCCACTGGGGTGGAGCATTACACATATCCAACGGCCTCCACGGACACGGTCTCATTTTAATTCCAAACATGGAGCATGTGATACGGAGCTCCAAAACCCAGGTCTGCCACGGTTTAAGAAAACACATAAGCCCAGCCGGTGTGGCTCAGTGGTTAAGCATCAACCTATAAACCAGGTCAATTTCCAGTCAGGGCACATGCCCGGGTTGCAAGCTTGATCCCCAGTAGGGGGCGTGCAGAGGACAGCCGATCAATGACTCTCATCATTGATGTTTCTACCTCTCTCTCCCTCTCCTTCCTCTCTCTGAAGTCAATAAAAATATATTTTTTAAAAAAAGGACACGTGTAAGTATATACTAAAAAAATCACCCATACTGATGGGATTGCCGCAGGGTTTCATACTGAACCCCTTTAAAAAATAAGCCCTCCAGGTGCATTGAGAAAAGGCTCCAATCCTGTGTAGTGAAGCAGAAAAAGCACTGGCCAGTGACGCAGAATTTCAGTCCCCAGGGCTGGAGGCTGTGCACGTGGTGTGGCTTGGGTATTTCATATCATCTTCCTGAACCTCAGTTTCCTCATCTCCACACAGAGAGGTCTCGGACCAGATGCTTGGCAGCCTCCCCCTGCCCCAACTCTAAAATACCATCGCTCTTCCTGCCCTGTTTCATTTGTCCCTTCTTCTCCTTCTGCTCCACTCTCTTAATAACCCAGCTTCTTCCAATAAAGAGAAAACCAGCTAATCGTGGCCGGGCAGCCGCTGTCTGCAGCCCGCAGCCCACAGACCCAGGCACTACCTGACCTCTAGGGGGCAAACCCTGCAAACCGAAGTCATTTAACTGAAGAGAAACAGGTCAGATCTGAAAATGGGGCTGCAGTGGGAGGCTTAAAGAGGACAGGAGCCAACCCTGGGAGCCAAGGGGGTCATGTGCAGAGATCCAGTGGGAAGGCCCCACAGCCTAGTCAGACCCTCGCCTGATCCCAGCCTGCTCTGCTCATGCAAACTTGAGGAATGCAGTTATAGAAAGGAATTAAGCACAGTTCCCGTCTCTAGAGGGGCGTCTCCGGCTGCATCTAGTTATTCCTTCAAGCAGCTGCTCTTCCTTGCCCAGTGAGTGCTCCTCCTCGAACAGGTACTCCTACAGACGGCCCCCTGCGCGGCATTCACCATCACAACGCAGGGCTCACCTCTGTAGTCGTCAAACTTCAGGGAGTCTGGGATTCACTTAGGAAGCGTGCTAACGTGCAGTTGCTTGGGCTCGATCCCCAGAGATCCTGGAATAGTGGATCTAGAATGGGGCCTAAGAATCTATATTTTAATAAGCACCCCTTGTACTTTTGATGCAGGGGTTCTAGGGGTCATGCTTCTAGGAGAGTTGTTTTATTTTTATGCTAATATAGGTTTTATCTCTGTGTCGCAGGGCCTAGATCAGGGCCTGCCAAAGAATTACTGACCAGTGAAGGACGGCTGAGTAATAAATATTAGGAGATGGGATTGGGACTAGGAAGATTCCAGAAGTATCTGAGCAGCATCACAGGAGACTTCCTTTCAGCTGAGCAGGTCCCAGAAAGGATCAGCAGTGTCAGGATGAGTCCCCCAGCCACATCCCAGGAATAAACAGGACCCCCAGTCACTAGTATTACACTCCCAGGGAGACAAAGTGGCATCTGGGGTGTCCCAGCATCCCTATGGTGGGGCTAAGCAGGAAGGGATGTAGGAAAGCTGGTGGCTTCGACTGGGGTGCAGCAAGAAAAGCCAGGCCCTGAGCACTGTGGAACAAAGGAAAAAGCACCAGGCTCGGGGGCTGGACCTCTCCGAGCCCTGGACAGGACAGAATACACGCATGAGCTGACTCTCACTGACCAGGTGGACCACAGATTCCTCCCGAGTGTGAAAGGCCAGCGCAGCACGTGGACAGTGTGCTCGGGAATTCAGAACAGCAGGGCGGCTAACGTGTGGGAGGCCGACCCCGGCTGCACTTGCTACGGGGCTAGGTCACCAGCAACACTCTCCAGACCAGCGAGCGTGCTCAGTGTATTTATAAGACTCTTCTGTTATGTCAACAGGCTCTAAGTATGAGAACAGCTGGATGCGATCAAACTCCAACTGCCTATCAGTGAATCCCTCGGATGAGGCATGAGAACCAAGAAGTTGATGAGACAGGCAAGGACCCCTGGCTGTGCATGTGCAGAGGGGGTGAGGTCACTGGGTGGGGAAGCAGCAAGGAGGCCAAAGACACGTGACTACAAAGAACGTGCATTCTGGTCACATGGATGCCACACATGTGGACACTGAGAGTCACTCCCCCCTCCCCCAACAGCAGCTGCAGCGGGTGTGGACACAGGTTCTCAACCCTGGCTCCCGTTAGACTCACAGAGGGAGCTTCACGAAAATCCCAGTGCCCAGGCCACACACCCCAACCACTAATCAGAGCTGGGCCTCAGACCCAGGCATCAGGATTTTGTAAAACATCCCAGGCTATTCCAGACAAGTTTGAGAAACAATGGTATGGTGGAAAGTTCAGGGATATGGGACCAGGAAAAAAAATCTAAATTTGATGCTAGGCTCTACTGTTTATTAATGGTGTGGCTTTTGGAAATTCATTTTGCTTTCCTGAGCCCAAGTTTTCTTACCTAAAAGGTAAGAACAACAGTATCCACCTTTCAAAGATATGAGCATTAGAGATATAACCTATGTAAAGCACAAATGGTGAGCAACTGGCCCATGGTAGGTGCTCAATAAACGGTAATTTGTGATTTTGAAAAGAGTTTTTTTCACTCAACTTTACCAATGTGCCACTATGAAGTATAGAGAAAAGGTAAGGGCACAGGCCCTGCCCTCAAGGGGCCCCCAAGGCTAGTAAGGGAGAGGAGAGGCAAGTCAATAAAACAGGAGAAATGAGGAAGCCACAGACGACAGCTCATGAACCGTTTGACCAAGATGAGTTTTATCTGCAAGCGTTTCATGGTGGAGAGTCAGGCCAAAGCCAAATTCTGGAAAAGAACAGAGAGCCAAACTTGCCTAGAAGTGTGGCTGGTGAGTGGAGGAAGGCCTCTCGTGGTGGCAGGGACGAGGGCACCCTACTGTCATAGCGCTTTGCATGTAGTAGGTTGTCAAAAAAAATGTCTTTAAATGAATAAATTACCAACAAGAAGATAAACAGAGAGGCGATTCCTCAAAGCCTAAGAGTTGGGAACTAAGAAGAGAAGAGGAAGGAATGTGGTGTGAGGCCAGAGAGGGGTCACCTTGTATCTTGCTTTCAGTTTTCTCCACTACGTGGCTGGCAGGAAAATGAGTGGAGACGCCAAGAATATTGAGAAAGCCAGGTGTCGTAAACAGTCTTCCTCTTAGCCTAGCTAGCTCCTGACCCTTCTTTATGACTTGGACCATGATTCATCTCCTCCAGGAAGCCTGCCCTGACTTCCCCATCCACAAAGCTGGGTTAGTGGCCTTCCTCTGTGTCCTGAGAGCATCCTATGTTTCCCTTGAGCACCCCAAAGAGCAAGGTGCAGTTGTCTGAACACACATCTTTCTTCCCAGAGGAACAGAAGTGCCATGAGGGCGAGGACTTTGTAACTCTGGCATGCAGCAGTGCCTGGCACGGAGGAGGCACTCTCAGTGATTGGGTGTGTAAAGGAATGAACACAAATGAGTGGATTAACCAACGAACCGAGATGATCTGGAAAACCGTCAATTACGGAGAAGTAAACTCACCTTGCAGTGCTTAGGGAAGAGTGGAGCGGCACACAAACGTGAGACAAACCAGATCAAGACAACACTCCAGTGTCTCTGAGCCCACACAGCTGCGTCAGCCCAGGTCGAAAAGACAGCCAAGTGAGTGGAAGCTGGAAGCAGGGACAGTGTCAACAGAACAAATGGGGTGACAATGGCATGTACACTTGACCTCACTGGGCTGAGCTGGAGGTTAAATGAGAAAATGTACCTGAAGTCCCAATATGATGCCAGCCACTGAGAAAGGTACCCAATAAAGACGGCTGCTAGTATCCTCACTCTCAGGAACGACTGGCTTCATTAGCTCCATGGCGTGTGTGTGTGTGTGTGTGTGTGTGTGTTATGTATTTCCCTGGCTGAATTCCTAAGTTGGACAGAATTTTTGAGTTCTTCCTGCTGATACTTTTCATAAGACAAAAAGGTTGAAACTGACTTACTTGTCTATTCAGAACTTTATAGAAGAATAAATCTAGCATTTTATAGAGAATCAACGGGAAAGATCACATCCACGAGGGAGGTCACTGCAAAGATTAGCATAAGTGGAAGATGACCGGTAAGAAAGACCAGTTAGTAGAGGCAAGACAGGGAACACTTAGTGGAGAAAACAGTCACTGAGCCATTTAGCTTTGCCC